ACCTCCTTGCCCCACATATCACAGACATCATCAACCTGTCCCTCTCCTCTGGCTCTGTTCCCATTCCCCTAAAAACTGCCACCATCACTCCCACCTTGAAAAAACCCTCCCTTGATGCGTCGCAGCTATCAAGCTACCGGCCCATCTCCAACCTCCCCTTCCTGTCCAAGGTCCTTGAAAGAGTTGTCGCCTCCCAGCTGCGCTCTTTCCTCTCCACCCATTCATTATTCGAACCCCTTCAGTCGGGTTTCCGTGCTGCTCATAGCACAGAAACTGCCCTGGTCAAGGTCACCAATGACATCCTGACCATCTGCGACCAGGGCTCCCTCTGCCTCCTCGACCTATCGGCAGCATTCGATACGGCCGACCATGCTATTCTCCTCCACCGCTTGTCCTCCCACCTCAACCTTCAAGGCCCTGTCCTTGAATGGTTTAGGTCGTATCTCTCCCACCGTCTTCATTTTATGTCCAGAAACGGTTTTTCCTCCGGCCCCCGCACTGTCTCGTACGGTGTCCCTCAGGGCTCTGTCCTCGGTCCCCTCCTCTTCACCCTCTACATGCTCCCCCTTGGTGACATCATCCGCAGACATGGGGTTAACTTCCACATGTATGCGGATGACACCCAACTCTACCTTTCCTCCTCTACCCTCAACTCCACGACCACCGATGTCCTGACAGCTGCCTGTCCGACATCGAGTCCTGGACGAGAGACAACTTTCTTCAGCTCAACGTGCGCAAAACTGAGGCCCTCCTGATTGGCTCACGTCAGCGCCTCCGCACCTCAGGCGCTGACAGCATCAGCATCCAAGGCTGCACTCTCCACCTCTCAAAGCCAGTCAGGAACCCCCTTCGACCCTGAGCTGTCCTTTCTCCCTCATATCCGCACCACAACTGGCACCGCCTTCCATCACCTCCGGAACATCGCCAGACTACGGCACTACCTCACCCCTCACGCTGCTGAAACTCTGTTCCACGCCTTTATCACCTCAAGGCTGGACTATGGGAACTCTCTCCTCGCCGGCCTTCCCGGCACCTCCCTCCACAAGCTGCAGGTCATTCAGAACTCTGCAGCTCGTGTACTGTCCCGCACCAGGCTTCGGGACCACATCACTCCCACCCTCGCTCGCCTCCACTGGCTCCCCATCCCCCAGAGGATCGAATTCAAGATCCTCATCCTCACCTACAAGGCCATTCACGGCCTTGCTCCCTCCTACCTCTCCAACCTACTATCCCCCTACCTACCTGCCCGTACCCTCCGTTCCTCTGGCTCCGGTCTGCTCCACATTCCCCGCCCCAACCGCCCTACCATCGGTGGCCGGGCCTTCAGCCTCTCAGCCCCGAGGCTCTGGAACTCTATCCCCAGTGCCTTCGCCGCCTCCTCCCTTTCCTCCTTCAAGGCCAGTCTCAAGACCTTTCTCTTTGACCGTGCCTTAAGCTCCCCTCTCGACTCTCTACCCCCTCCTCGCTCCCTCCCTTCCCTCCCCTCACCCTGACCATTTCCCCCCAATGCTCGGGTCCTGATCCAACTGTGCAGCGCCTTGGGACGTCCTCCCGACGTGAAAGGCGCTCTATAAATGGAATCTTGTTGTTGTTATTCTTATGCACCGTGAATTTCTATAGTTCTATAATTGGTGCCGCAAGAAATAAGCACCTCATTTTGCTCATCTGCTTACGTGCGTCTTTCAGAGTTGAACTTACATAGTCTAAGCTGACACTCTAAAGCAGTGCTGGGAGTGGTGTGTTGCATTGTCAGAGATGCCATCTTCGGGTGAGACGTTAAATTGAGGTCCTGTTCAGGGGAATGTTAAACATCCCATGACACTATTTGTAAAATAAAAGGAAGTTCCTCATTCATTTCATGACTGTTTGTGGGACATTGCTGTACTCAACTGTGCTGCCGTGTTTGCCTACAAATGCACAGTCACGTCATTCCACAGTATTTTTGTATTACAAAGTTGTCCCTTGAAAAGCTCTGTGTATTGGGAGCAGGGAGCTGGTACAATTTGCATTGTCCTAATTATGCACACTTGGTGATTTAGCAACTTTAAACCTCCATTAATTTTAACTAACAGACACTTGAGTATTTGTTCTCTCAGGTGATCTCAGTGACCCTGGAGTAAGAAGGGGAAATATTTGATGACTAATTCCTCAATGTTTGCTGGGAAGTACATATGTGAACATCCGGTGTTTATTAAAAGAATAATCAGGAATGTCTACGATGCCCACAATATCATAGACTGTTGATGCCAACAAGCTCTCCGGATTGCATCAGAGCAGAGTTCCCTCTGGGCAGGGTGTTGCACTTCTGGTCAAAGGCAGGAGTTGTTTGGGCTTAAATTCCAGTCATGTTGTGCATAGAATGGTGATGCGTGTTTATAATGGGGGAAATGCCATGAGTAGTTGACATCACTACTCAAAACTGACCAGACAGTGACTTGGGTTATGAATTGCTGCATATTAGACTTGACTAAGTTGGTTGCGATGTGTAGAAAGAATGTTCCCTTCGAGAGGAAGGGAAGCAACTCCCATGGAGCTCTACCAGAGCACGAGGCAGCACTTTAAGGAGAGGGAAAGTATATATTTGTTTGTTAAACAAGTAAATCTAACATAATATTGCACAGGAAATAAACAGGCTCATTTGAAATAGCTCAGGAAATGCATCCCCATTCAAGGCTGAGAAATACAATAATTGTTTTTAAAAATTTCAATTAAAGATTATCAGCAGAGTCAGCGGAGGGAGACAAAACAGAAGAGAATATTATTCCCCAAGTAATTATTTGAAAGTGTTATCAATAGAACCGCTTCTATTATGCTGTCATCAGCAAAGGCGATATCAACACCAGTGGGTCGAATTACACAAGACACAAAATTCCTCAGCATTTTACATTTGATTTTCTGTGGCTTTGTGGTCAGTAGAGATGGTGGGATTGAAGTATTTTGCTTCAGTTCTACAGATTTTCTTTTAACAGTTGGCATGTTTAAATCCACTTTGTTTTTTGGGGGAAGCTGTAAATAATAGACAGTTCTCAGTGGTTGTTATGAGTCATTTGCTGATGTAATGACATTAAAGGAACTGCACTGATGGCTACCAGACCTGTACTAAGTAGTTTTGACTGGATACACCTGGCTTGTATTTATGCACAATTGCTTTTTATCACATCTCATTTTGTATATTTTTTTCATACATATCAGGCTTTCACTTTGGGTTAGTAATTTTGATCCCAGTGTTGAGATTTTTGTAAGAATTTCCAATAACTCCAGAAACCAAAAATTGCTGAACAAAATATCACAATCTGCAATTGTCTCCCCAATTAAAAATGTTTTGTTTTGCTGTATGCAGATGTGAATGTACAATTTCAACACATGGGGTGTATCACAAGTAAGGTGGTGAGGTACAAATTTACTCCCAAGCTTGAAAATGTTTCAAATGGGTTTATTATCCAGTTCAATGGGAATGTAGAAAATATAGAGGAAGAAAGAGTCACTGGCAATTGATTTAGTGAGTTCCAAAGATAATAATGTGAAAGATATCATAAACATGCTATTTTTCTATTTTGAAAAAAATACTTTTCTCATGGTGTGATATAAATGTACACATCTATGGGGCTGTGTATTTAATAAGTAAATTCAACCTCAGTGAGCTTCTATAGTTAAAACAAAGTTGTCAGCATCTAAGGATAAATACCCAATTTATATGGTGCTGTATTTAATTAATATCAACATGTATATACAATTATTTATTCACCAGGGTGCCCCTGGGAATAGACTGTCAAAGAAATCAACAGCTGGACATTTTTTGACTTTATCTTAGAGGTGCTGGAAGACTTTTGTGAACTAGAGCATGTATCAAAGACGTCTGGTCTAGATATGGCACATAAGAACAGTGGTGTGAAGTAATGGCTTAACACAGTAGAACCTCATTATTATAAAATCTGTTTTTACAATCCTCTCATTATCACAAACGTATTCCCTTGTCCCAGCCAAAGCTCAATTATAGTTGAAAGCACAGCTCGAACCTGAGCAAGATGAAGCTCTGACAAGAAGAAATAATTGGCTGGTCCCCATGAGTTTGTAATGACAAGATTTTACTGAATTTTGGATTTCTCATTGCCAAATTGCTCAGACGTTACATCTTTACTGAATGGTAGTCAGTAATGCTTCTTCAAAGAAGCTGTGGCCATTGAATCTCTACATTTTGAATGCTCCTACTGACCTACAATTCAAAATTGCTGTTTGCCTCAGCTATTAAATCTAACAGGCATGGCTTTGCACCGTACCTTACATAGATAACAATAATAATAAATAAATACGTAACTAGGCTGTGTGGTGTTTAGTGCTCAGGTGAGCCTCCACCCCTCATATTCCACTCTCCTGTACCTCTCTATTCCCTTCTCCCTCATTTATGCATGAAGTTTGCTCTTAAATACATTGATACCACTGCTTCAACCACAACTTCCCGCAGTGAGTTCCATATTCTCATCACCCTCGGCTTGAAGAAGTTTCTCCTATATATACTATAATAATAATATATATAAATTCCTCCTAAACTCCTTATTAGATCTATCACTCATTAACTTATATTTACACCCTCTAGTTTTCCACTCACCAACAAGTGGAAACAGCTTAACAACGTCTCTTCATTGAATTTTATTGAAATAACTCAAAGTGCTTCACAGCTTTTTTTATTATAAAGTATAGTAATTGTGTATTTGTAGGCGATCTTTCTTTGTGACAATGTTGAGTTTGTAGCTCCGGTCTCCTCAGACATTATCGACAATTACTTTTTTATTATTTTGTTACCAATTTCTATTTTTTAATGACTGGTTTCATTCCAAAGTGTTGCATTCATTTTTACAATGGTGAAAAAAAATCATTAAAATTCTATGGCGCATCCATGCTGGTGTACACAGAGCAAAAAAAACAGACCTATATGTCTTATTAAAATTGTTTGCTCTGTGCTATATTTTTATATATTTATGTTTGTTGTTCTGAATGTTTAGGGTAAATTATCAGATGAAGTAGAATCATGCAAGGAGCCAACTGCTGACAGTGAAATGGCAACTGCTGAATACTCCAGCGGTGAAAGCTGCAATACCGATGAGGAAGAAAAATCAACACTCCTTTTGAAACGATTAAGATCGCTGGAGGTAAGCAAACAGTGGAATCTGTCTCCAATAAATGTTATCAGAGCTTTAGTATTAAAATTGAAGTTATCTTCTGGCTATCTTTAACAGATTATTCCTTAAGTGTTTTTTTCTCTAAATACACTCTGTGTTTATATGTGGGGGAGAGCAGTATTTGTCTTAAATATACACATGATGCCTTCAGAAATAAGGCACCTGTCATTTAAATACTCAGAGTAATATAGTTTTGGCACAGAACTTTTGGAGTTAGTGAGCTATAGCAGCTGCTCAGAGCCACGTGGGTGGGAACATCTGGTACAGATTCAGTGTATTCTATATTATTGCTATTATACATCCACTTTTAGCCTGCTAATCATTTTAGCCTGTTTATTTTTACCTTCAAGTACCTTTATTACAATGTGATAAAATCAAGTATATAATTTTGTCTGAAAATGCTAGATGTCCTGATAGTTCAGCACAATAAGTAATAAACCTTGCCATTTTATGTGTCAGGTAATATTTTACTTGGTTCTTTTACATGGTATCTGTTGAGAGCAGAAAATAAGATGAATGATGAGACACTTAGGCTTTAAGGCTTTAATTTCTCCTCAATTATGCATAACCATTGGATTCACAATAAAACAGTATCTTATACACATATGGTAAACGTTAATCACTCATGTATTCTGCGGGTGTTACTGTTCTAATCATCATCAATATAACAATAATTATTGCATTTGATACAGAGTGTTTATGTATATATAATGTAAATATTTTTCAAATTTGGGTTGGAAGTGCAATGAAAAGCATAGGGATTCAATCTAATCTGAATATATAATGTGCACATGCTGCCATTAAAACTAAGTAAATGGGGTTGCCTTTTGGTGGATTCACTACTCGGCACATTTGCCCTTCACAAAATATGAGTGAAAATCCTGCTTTGGATTAGGATTGATTGAAGATATCACCAGTCCATCACAAAGACAGGCAGTCCAGAACTTTGGAATTAGTATATACACATATAAAAGAATGCCCATCACTTACTTGTGATGTGCACCTTAGTTTCCTATTTACCAGTTGACTTCTAAATCTTCCCTGGGGGGGGACATGAGTCACAAAGTGATACTACTGTAATTAACACACAGTTTTTGTTTTATTGAGTTGCCTTTCAATGTTTAATTATCCAGAGATCATAAAAATGTTTGAAAGAAATTATTAACGACCAAGATTCTGTGAGACAGTGTCATGTTAAACATGTGGCAAATGTGTTTGCTCTAAACTATCTAAGACTATGTAAATTAACTAAGACTTATTACTGACATCTTTGGAAGAAATTAATTTGCATTCTGCAAATTCCCATGAATACTGCAATGTGATTTATTACACCTAATGACACAAGTATCTATTATTGCACAAAATTGAAAGAGCTCTAGGTTATTGCTTATCACTAAGGATTCCACTCTAAATGCCTCTTTATTAATCTTCACTGGTTGTGCTTATTTGTTAGCCAAAGTGTTCACTGCAAATAGTACATGGAAATTACGGAAGTACTCTGTGGTCATTAAAAAAAAGGGAATAAGTAAAATAATCCCAGCCAGCTCAGCTGTCAGGCAAATCACAGGTATTAGTTGTGCATTGTAATCATTCTAATGACAAACCCCCTTGAGTAACACTCATTTCCACTTCACTGGCTAGGAAATCCCATTTAATTTACTGATGTGGTTATGATCAAAATACTTTAATACCTCTTACACAATGGTTGGAATTCCACAGATGCCCCTTCTGATGCTTGCTTGTTTTAGATTGATTTCATTTATTTTAAGAAATGAATGAGAAGATTGAGCTGACATAGGTGTTGAATTTCAATATTTTAGTGTTCTTTATATTTTTGCTAGCTGTTGATTGGTAAGACTTTTGTGACTTTATTTAGGTGAGTACTCAGCACCTTTGGATGCCCTCCTGACGTAAAAAGCGCTATACAAATGTAATCGTGTTGCTGCTGTTGTTGTTGTTGCATCATATTATTCATTTCCTTGTTTTCACACATGATAGAACAGACAGATGCTTAAGACTTAAATATAATACTGTATAAAGGTACGGTCTGTCTGCAAAGGGTTCTCTGCTCGTATCAAGTGAGACCACCTGCAAAGGGTTCAAGGCATTTTGGTGGACAAGTTCAAAACTAAACTAACATGTACTCTGTGTTCATGTTTGAGTTGCCTTTTCACTTGCAACCTGAATCCCTTCACTGGGAGAACTGCATTGGTTTTGCATTGATTTATGCATGAAATGTAGCAAGGACTCACCACAAATAGCTGATCAAATGTACCTAATTTGACATACTGCTCAGGTAATCTTTCATCCACATCTTGTTTGGGTGGGGCCACTTTTTTATGGAGCGTGGGAACGAAATGTATCATGTGGGAGATGTCCTCACACTGTGATATTTTGCATCAAGGTTTTCTTAAAGGTATTTAAGAGCTTAAAGGCTATGGCAAATGCACCTACTGGTGTTAGCATAGGCTGGACACTTTAGTACCGTAGAGCGTGTTGACTCTTGAATAAGACTACAAGCTTGATACACTCCATTTTTGTATGCTAGCACATGTGAGATGTCAACAAAATGACAAGTCATTTTAACATAATTTTCTATTTTCATATATTTTGTTACAAAAACTTACTCTGCAATGTAATTTTAGATTGATGTGAAATCTGATGAATATTTCTTTTTTTTGCTTGTTTTAGATTGATTTCATTCCATTTTATTTGCATGTAAACTACACTTACCTCCTATCACAATAGGCTATTGATTAGTTTGCAGTTTTAGCATCCAGGTTGAATTGTAGACCCAAATACTACAGGATTATTGTCTTACACCACATCCAGGTCCCGAAGTGCATAGCCATTCAATAACCAATTTAAATGTGCTTTTCATTTTATAAGTTTATTGATTAATCTGAAATACTTACAGTACTTCAGTTTTAATATACATTGTCAAAGATTGTTCTGTAACATTAGACACTGGCCCAAGAGAAGACTGAATGTATGCAGCAATTTCCAAATAAGACCAACCTACTGTATTGTGTGTATACAGGACTATAATTGTAGTGTACAGTGCTACCTGTGTAGAGTTGTGGTAATCGTCTATTTAACCCCAAATCCTAACTCTTCTGTAGTTCGTTTTGTAAAAATCAAAAGTTCTATATTGTTGTCTAAATTGTGCTGATTCATTAATAACAACTTAAGTTACATAAAGGCAATTATTTGGAGTAAATGGTGGTATGTCATACTGAATTTTGAATATCCATCAGAAATAACACAAAATATAATATACCCCAATTACACAAATATTATTTATCAGATTGAAACGTTTAAAATGCTCCAAAAAATGTAGAAGTCAGTTATTTGTTTTTATTGAAAAGTGTGGTTGAGTCTAGTACAATTGAGAAACAGATTCTTAAATCTTATTTAAGAAACAGTTTGATACTATAACGGAAAGAAGATGGGGTTCTGTATTCTGGACACCTAAGGTCAAATAGGCTTCAACTATATCTCTCTTGTAATCTGATGACTTTTGCCAGTGTTTTTCATTGATAAGTTGGAAGAACTTTTCGTTTCTCCAAAGAAAAAAATCATCTCCACATCAATGTTATATTTATTCATAGTATTGCCCTGAGATTAGCAGCTGGTGCAGGGTAAATATTTCCTCTACTGATTTACAGAATTCTCCTGAATAGCATTTTAGGATCAGCAATATCTAGTACTGTAGACAATGTCTCTCTTTGGGAGGTCACCTATTCTAATCAGTCTGGGAGGGTAAATTGTATTCATTAACACTTTCTCCCATCCTTAATCAGCTAATGCGTTATGCAAAGAGCATTGAAGAAAATGAATATGTTTGACACCAAGCAAATATGTGATTGGTAAATCAGGTATATAACAATCTGCTTGAGGGGAATAAAATGGTACCCTATATCCTACTCTCAACCTTAGACTCCTTGATCACTTCTTTGGTGCTTAATTCATTCAGGAGATAAAAATGTTCAGAAGATGTATGCATATTGATGCAAAAAAACATTTTTTTTCAAAACAGTTGGATCATTCATTGTTTACCAATGTTCATGGTGATATATTTGCACTTAGATATGCTTTGGAACAAAAGGATAAGTCACCTTGTGTCCTTGGGTGGAGCTGAATAACCAAATGAGTCATAAATGACTTAACGCCTGATAAATGCTCGTGTTACTAAAATCATATTAATAAAATGATTAGACCTGAAGAAGACATAAAACTTTACTTCAAATTCCTTCTGTTATAACAATGAAGGATAGTTTCAGGGATACTCAGGAGGTATATTCACATAGAAGATAAGATCTCTTCTTTTTGTCCAAGAGTTTCTACCATTCATAAAACCAGACAGACGGATGGCAAAACTGCTCAAATAGCGGGTTCCTGACATTGACCTCTGCTGAAAAGATTGAACATCTTCATAGCACATGGGACTGACAAGAAAATCATTCTCTTTACATATGCTTTGCATCTGTACGATAAATGTTATTCCTGGGAAGATGTTTATGTAAATATAGACAATGTAGAACAGTCTGAAACTATCCCACAGTGAACTGCCTAGTGTACATTGATGTCATGATTTAATCACTGTGAACAGCAATTTATATTTAATGGAAACCTCCATGCATTAAACAAAGAGCTGACATTGCGGATGAAATTTGGAAGCTGATTCTGAAAGTCTTTTTTTAAAAAAAAATCTTCATTAAACTAAACTCACAAACTCTTATCACTTCTTCCACTCCCCCTCCCCATGGACAAAAGTGTTGAGGATAAATGCATGTAGGTGTGATACAGACACCAAAGTATCTTGCATGATTGTAATCTTTTAATTGGAACCAATCTCTAATGTGTATTATATGCGGCATTGCAAATTTCAGGCTGGTGGATGGAGCCTTCCTTGTACACAGCTATCCTTTTAAGGCTTTGAATTTAAAAAGCGCTGAGGCAACACATCA